ACAGGTCATTGTACAGGACACAAACTATCTGGTACTTATTGTACAGGACACAAACTGTCTGGTACTTATTGTACAGGACACAAACTGTCAGGTATTTATTGTACAGGACACAAACTTTCTGGTACTTATTGTACACTGGACACAAACTGTCTGGTACTTATGTACAGGACACAAACTGTCTGTTACTAATTGTACAGGACACAAACTGTCTGTACAGGACACAAACTGTCACTTGTACAGGACACAAACTGTCTGGTACTTATTGTACAGGACACAAACTGTCTGGTACTTATTGTACAGGACACAAACTGTCTGGTACTCATTGTACAGGACACAAACTGTCTGGTACTTATTGTACAGGACACAAACTGTCTGGTACTTATTGTACAGGACACAAACTGTCTGGTACTTATTGTACAGGACACAAACTGTCTGGTACTTATTGCACAGCACACAAACTGTCTGGTACTTATTGTACAGGACACAAACTGTCTGGTACTTATTGTACAGGACACAAACTGTCTGGTACTTAAAACTTGTACAGGACACAAACTGTCTGGACACAAACTGTCTTGTAAATTAATGAGCCATTAATTCACTTATTGGCAAACAAATGTCTTGGTAAGAACAGCAAAAGACCATCATAGTTATTCAGTTAGAAAGCATGGAAGTTTAAGGAGATGCAAACTTTATCTATGACTGATAAAGTTAATAAGACTCACATGCCAAAATTCAGGTTAAATTAAGATTAAATTAATATACTAGTATACACGCATGTGGGGAAAAATTTCGGAAAAAAAGGGAACAAATGGAGTGCTCGATAAACAAATAGACGGGAAGGAAATTTAGACTGTAAGCTTTGGTGAAAGAAACATGAGAAATATTTAGCAAAAGCAGGAAAAAGGAAACTTTCTTATCAAACTTATAATAAGAGTTAAAAGTAAATTATTATATGCTAAAAGGCTAATGAAGGACTACAAGAGGGGAGGAGGACAAAAAATGGCAAACACTGAACAAAGGACGATTAGTCAATAGTATACCCACTCGATCCTAACGTCAACATGGATTAAGCCAAATTTAGATCGACTAGAGGTACTGTAAGCAAGCTCACTAAATAATACCTTCCCCCTCCTCCCATATGAATATAATGGCAAAGCCCATGCTTTGCTTTGGGAGACCAAAAATTTGTGTCCGATCAAAAGGTAAAAAAGGAGGTTAAAATGGCACTATATATAACAAAAATAAATATGTAAAAGTCTCAATAAATTTCATTCAGTGGTAAAAGAGGACCTGCAAATAAAAGATGTGTACCCCAAAGCATAACAGACGGACAGAAATTCTGATCGCTTGATACTAGTATACAAGAACCCTCCCTTTTTCAAGCGGGGGTATAAAAATAAGTAATCACATATGGCTGAATGCTGAATTTATTCTTCGACTTCCAGACCATATCACAAACGTCTATCGTCAAGCCCTTATTGCAAAATACTAAATAATTTATTATTATTTGATAATTAATTACGTCAATTTAATTTAAATTAGAATGAAAAGATAAATCAAAGTATTGAAAGAACTGAAAGTCGGGATTTAATTGCTCGAGTATATTGTCTGATCCGAAATTAGTACATATTCATTTCTTTTTTCCTTTCGGCCATTGATTTTTAACAGGTAAAGTTTGTATGATTATGATTTAAAACAATATCCATATACCATTAATTAAAATTAACAGTTAAGACCCAAAAATATGTCATGATTTAATAAATAATATTTCCAAGAAATCATTTTTCTATTCAATGAGCATTTTTTTCATTATTTAAAAATTCAGTCTTGTAATAGTTAAAAAAATGCACATGTGTAATTTATAGACATTCTTTTAGTTTCAAACAAACAGAACTGTTATCGCCAACTACATGTAGACCCACTTATACATGTACATTGTCAAGCGACTTCACGCATGTTAATTCTTAAAATTCAAATTCACTTTACTATTAATTTGCTAAAAATGAAAACAGCACATAACTTTAACATAACATCGACGAAAACGATATGAAACATGAAATGCTTCAACAATTTCAATATTTGGAAAAGCCCGCGCTATTGAAAATAGTTCGCTTACAATATGCATTCAGCGGCGTATGTGCACAAATTGTTATATCACGATTATCCCAATAAAGCAAATATCTAATTTCTCTTTCACTTTAATTCTCAAGCAAAAATATTGATCATTAACTTTTTCAACGATTTGGATGTTAAAAATATTTGTTTGAATATCGTCTCGCAATGGAACTATTTTGTTTATCGAAAGCGTCTGCTTTGAGGCTGTTTGGTTTTTTGTTTACTGTGCTATCTATAGTAAGACAGTCGATCATGATGCCTATAGCCAGGACAAGCCCGGCTAAAAATCATGAGTAGAAAGGGGGTGGGTGGGGTTGAACCACCGGCGAAAGAAGTATCTGTTGCCTGCATGATTGGCTAGTAGCAAAATACTCAGTACATTGAAGGTCAGAAATTGCTTACTTTGTAACCTTTGTTTATCATCATCAGTTTCACAGAGTTTAAAAGCTGGTGTAATGAATCAGGGTTATTCCAATCAGTGTAAGACTACAGACGTCTTAATGCTTGTACAGTTAAAGATGCCTACCCCCTGCCCAGGATTGATGAATCCTTAGAACAATTGTCCGGATACAGCTGGTTTTCCACTCTGGATATATTTTCCGGGTATTGGCAGGTGGAATTTGCTCCAAAGGACAAGCATAAAACGGCTTTCGCCACACGTAAGAGTTTGTTTCAGTTCCGGGTGATGCCTTTCGGACTTTGTTGTGCACCAGCCACTTTCGAAAGATTAATGGAAATGGTATTGGAAGGATTACAATGGGAGGTTTGTCTGGTTTACCTTGATGATATTATCATCATGGGTAAAACCTTCATTGAAATGATGACCAATTTAGAGAAAGTATTTGACAGACTTCAATCAGCTGGGTTACGACTAAAAGCCAAGAAATGCCATTTGTTCCAGAGATCTGTGAAGTTCTTGGGCCACATTATCTCTGAAGAAGGAATAATGACAGATCCTGAAAAAGATAGAAAGTGTGAAGAATTGGCCTGTACCAACAAGTGCAACGGAGGTGAAGTCCTTCCTTGGTTTATATGGTGGGTATTATAGGAAGTTTATAAAGGACTTCGCAACGATTGCCAAGTGCCTACATAAGTTGACTGGAAAAGGGAGACCATTTGTCTGGAACGATGATTGCCAGATCGCTTTTGACCTTTTGAAACAAAAACTTATAACTACCCCAGTGTTAGGACACCCTGACTTCACTAAAGAGTTTATCCTTGACACGGATGCCAGCAGAGATGCTATTGGGGCTATACTTTCTCAGGAACAAGAAGGTCATGAGAAAGTCATTGCTTACGCTAGCCGTACCTTGTCCAAGAGTGAAAGAAGCTACTGCGTCACTAGGAAGGAGCTCCTTGCAGTTGTTCATTTTGTAAAAGTTTTCAGACATTTCCTTGAGGGACGAAAATTTTGTATCAGAACGGACCATAGCTCCCTAAAGTGGTTATTGAGATTCAAGAACCCAGAGGGCCAACTAGCCAGATGGCTAGAAGTATTGAGTACATATGATATGTAGATTGAACACCGGCCAGGAGCACAACACCAAAATGCTGACCCTGAGTAGGATACCCTGCAAGCAATGTGGTTTCTTTACTGCATGGGATCAAGAAGAGGAATCAGGGGCTCTACATGCAATTAATAACAATGAGGATGGTGCCCAAATGTCAGATGGTTTGTCCCTTAAAAGTATTCAAGAAAACGATGAAGATGTTGCATTGGTGATCAAATGGTTAAAGGATGGGACAAAACCAAAAGCTGAAGAACTAGCAGGAAAAAGTATTTATGTTCGAGATATTGTAGGACAATGGGACTTGTTACTGATCAACGATAAGTTACTGTGCAGAAAGTGGATTCCTGGAAAAGGAAGTCCTATCTTTCAAGCTATAATACCATGGAGCGAGAGGCGGAAGGTACTTTATTTCTGCCATGACTTCAAAGGGGCAGGACACTTAGGTCACAAGAAGACACTTGAAAGAGTGCGAAGTAAGTACTATTGGCCTGGTTGCCGAAAGGACATAAGAGCGTATGTTGCAGGATGTGAAAAATGTTCCAAGAGAAAATATCTGAATGTTTCAAAGAAAGCGCCCATGAAGATAGTGGAATCTGGGATTCCTATGGAGAGAGTGGCCACGGATATTCTAGGAGAATTGCCAAAGACAGAGAGGGGTAACCGCTATATTTTGGTAGTCGCTGACTACTTTACCAAGTGGACCGAGAGCTTTGCCATGCCTAACATGGAGGCACAAACAGTTGCTCGTATATTGGTAGAGGAAGTCTTTGCAAAATTTGGAGTGCCTAGAATACTTCATTCGGACCAGGGCAGGCAATATGAAAGTCTATTATTTCAAGAGCTCTGTGCATTACTACACATTGAAAAGACCAGAACAACCCCCTATCACCCTCAAAGTGATGGGATGGTTGAACGGTTCAATAAAACCCTTGCAATCATGCTTAGTGCATACGTAAACGAGCACCAGACTGACTGGGATGAATCTCTCCCATACGTTATGCAGGCCTATCGTTCTGCAGTTCATGAGACCACAGGCTATACACCGAACTTTTTAATGTTAGGTAGAGAGACCTGTACACCCTAGACCTAATTTACGAATTGCCAGGAGAAGTGAAAGTCACTCCAAGAAGCCAATGGGTTTGGGAATTACAGGAACGCTTGGAAGAAGCTCACAAAATAGTTCGGGAAAATACTAAGCAAGAGATGTGTCGTTAAAAGACATATCATGACAGAAAGCTTAGCTTTGAAACGTTTTCCCCCGGTGATAATGTTCTTGTGTACTTTCCGGTTCGCAAAATAGATAGATCAGGGAAATTGACCTCGTATTGGCATGGTCCCTATACCATCCTAGGCAAATGTTCTGATCTGACCTACATGATTAATTGTGGACAAAAAGGTCGAGAGCAGGTTGTCCACGTAGACAGGATAAGACAACAGCACCCTCAGCTGCTGAGGGGAGAATCAAGTTCTAGTAAAGTTGTTGAGTTAAAGGATCAGAGAAGTCTAGAAAATGAGAATAAGGTCTCTGATAAAAGAAATGACTTAGGGAATACAAGTGACCAAGTGGAGGAGACATGGTCAGAAATCAATATAGAATCAGACGATCAAAATGATATTTGGTCGCCAGATCTCACAAAAAGGAAACGACGTCCACTAAAATGGATGTCAGACTATGTCAGGGATTAACTAATGTGTTAGAAAAACATATATGTATCGTTATTAAGTTTTCTTTTTGTGAACAGATAGTTTAATATTGTTTTTATTTTGTTCTTCATAGATTACAATGACAAAGACAAAGGTAACCGTAAATAAGGGAAGAAAGTGTCCTTTCTGTCCATATCGTTTTATGAGAGAGGAGGAATTGTCCAACCACATCGGGAAACGTAGCAAAGACCTGCTGTTTTGCAATTATTCTGATTTCAATTCCACAACGTCTAAAAACTTGAGAAGGCATCTCAAAAGGAAACATGACATTGGGGAAGAAAGAGGCGGCGAGCAAGATGTAGTCCAAAAGGAAAGTTCTGGGGAGGGTTTGTCAGAAAGTGAATCTTGGGTGGAGCAAGATCCAGGAGATCTTCGAGGGGTGTTCCCGGAGGATATAAGTGAAAGTGAGAGTGAAGATGAAAGAGGCGCAGATAAGAATGAGAAGGAACTTCCGTGTGGTGATGACTCCAAAAGAGAAGAAGGTAGACTTTATCGTAAACCGACCAGACCGTTGCCAGTATTTACACCAGCTAGAGTTACCCCCATGACAGAAGCCACACCTTCTGATCCAACCCCAGAAAAACCACAACATGAACACAAGGAGTCTCAAACTGACCCAGTGTATTTCACGGAGAGTATTAAAGTAATCACCAAGTGGGTTGAAGATGGAAAGCAGATTAAGAAGATTGAAAAGAAGAAACTGCTTTAGAGTTTGATTATTGTTGACATTCAGAAAGATATTCTGTGCATTTATAAAAAAAAAAAACTATATAAATATTTGTTACCCTTGAATTGTTGTTGTTTTCATACGGGACGTATGACTTTAAGGGGTTGGTGATGTAATGAATCAGGGTTATTCCAATCAGTGTAACAAGGGATGTTAGGGTTTTTGACTTGGTATGACCTGTTTCCCCTACCATGAAATAGACCAGTCCTATGCTATATATATAGCGGGTGTTGACAGATTCAGTCAGTCTATCTCGGAATCAGTACAGTTACGTTCACTGCCGCAGACTGATCTAAGAAGTGGCCAGGTAAGGGAAATAAAATAGTAAGGGTGATAAGATAAAGTGACGACGCTGAATAAGCTGAGTCACAATAAGGTTACTTTAGGGCTGAATAAGCCTTATTGTATAGGTTGCGTCAACTGGTTGACCTCAGTAGCTTTGGCATTAGAAATAAAGGCTGAATAAGTCTGTACCCTAGTGCCAAAGTGAACTGGAGACGCCAGTTGACTAGAGACCTTTGGTTTAGTAACCTGGACCCTTGGTTGGGCCAGTTGTCCGGGACATTGGTTAGGGGTGAGACAAGTGGTCCGGAGTCAAATTGTCCCTTGATTTTGTTCTGCGAATCGTAGTAAATATATTGATTAGGTAAATTGTTGAAATAATCATCGTAAATATATTGATTAAGTTTGTGTCCTAGTGGACAAAATACAGATCATTTGTTTAAATTGTTACACTGCAGAAATCCCGGGTGTAACCGGGTACGTGTCCAATTGAATATATAGACCGCTCGGCTGGGCACATGACACTGGTAACGAGTTTAACCTAAAGGGTATTTGGTACATTTTTAAAACATTATGTCAATCCTGGATTACCATACTTTATCACTTGAAATATGATCTAGGTAAGCAATAACACATGGACTTGCAGGTATTTTATACAGAAGTTTATTATCTGTCACAGTTCCGTTATATTTTTTTCTTCAATTTATTAATTATTTATAAGTGTGATTATGAATAACAAAAAATATATATAGGTTTTTTAAAAGATGATTGTTTGTGCTCGCGTACTCCAAAAGAAATGTATTCTAGATCAATTAAGTAATTCGAGAAAAGATATTGAATTCATGTCTTAATCATGCAAAAGTTCTTTTCATTGTAAAAATCAATTGAATAATTTTTTTCCCCCAGGGTAATGTAGTACTGTTTAAAAAACGAAAAAGAAATAATTCTAGATGTACTTTCGATTTCATTTTGTTTTCTTTGAATTGAAATATGGAAATAACGAACAGTATTCAAGCTTAAAAAATCCTTTGAGCAATACACACCTGGAGCAAAACAAAAAATGACCTCAAAAAACGTCAGATGGTGGGATCAGGTGCCATGTAGGAGTAAACTTCCCCTGTCGAATGATCACACCCGTCTGTGCCCCATTGACCAATTAAACAAAAAATCTGTAGACAATTCAGTGTGCAAATAATAATTGGATGAAAAACCTAGTCAACATTCGACTTAATGATGCTATGGTTTATTTGGTGACAAAGTCATGGTTTCGACCATAGAACTCAGTTGCAAGATAATTACTTTCATTACCTTGTTTCATTAACTTGTATGTCAAAAGCTTCATTAGCTTGCTCTTTTTAGAAATTTTTTGTAATAGAACATGTTTTTTTCATATTGAGTCAAATTTGGCCAGAAAATATTTACATTGACAAATTTGGCCAGAAAATATTTACATTTGAAAAATGATCTCTGTCAAAACTCTCAGAAAGTTAAGTACGGTGATTTCTCGATATTTAGTACATTGATTTCGCCAAGTGAAGGTCTGGAGCCTAACTCTTGCGACTGATTTTCACTATAAATGTGTCTGATGTCTGTGGGTCAGGACTACAGACATTAACGGGGAAAAACTTGTCAATATTGCTCCTAGTATTGTTTTTTTTATTTCTATTTCATTTTCATTTTACACGTACATTTATAAAACTGGATTAGCTGTCTAGTTTGATGAGCGATTGATCGACGTAATTGCAAACGTTGAATAATTATTCATAAAAGGTTACGTCCATTTTACAATTTATTGAAAATTCGAGATATTCATATTAAGATTCATTTTCTATATATCAGAAAATATATGAAAAATACAACAGTATCACATAGAAGAAAATGGCCGGTATCCTACAAAAGGAAGAAACAGATCAACTCCTGAAATGGATTGGGGGTCGGAGGAAATTCCGACTCTTGTATAAGATAACCAGGGACGGATGTTCCGGTTCGACATTCCATTCCAAGTGTGACAACAAGGGGATGACTGTGACTGTCCTGTACAACAACAATGATACCGTGTACGGGGGATTCACATCTCAAAACTGGACCAGCGTGGGAGGAGCCTACGTCTCCGACCCTAAGGCTTTTCTCTTCCAGCTAAAGTTCAATGGGAAATGGTCACCCAACCAGTTTCTGATCAAACCGGATAAACATGCTAACGGAATATATTGCAATACAAGTCATGGACCTTATTTTGGAGGAGGGCATGATATTGCAACATTCGGTGGCACTATCAATGCAAGTAATGGTATTTTTGCTCTTAATGGGTCCTGTAATCTGGGTCACACCTACGACATGAAAGGAACTGACTTCAATTCCTTTGCCAATGGAAACTTACAAGTAAAGGACTTGGAAGTTTATCAGGTCGATGGTGAGTAATATTATTCAAATGATGTGTAAAACTTTAAACCTTGCAGATACATTTGCATCTAAACAACACAGAGGAAAAAGACAAAGTTTTATTAAAATTTTGTTTGAATCCCCTTAACACAAAATATTAATAGGATATACATACTTCAGTGCATTATTGGCGTTTTATAATTTCTTTTTCTCAATATTTTCCCTTGTTAATGCTTTCCCTTGTTAGTGATTTCCCTTGTTAAGATTTCCCTTGTTAATGATTTCCCTTGTTAATGATTTCCGATGTAAATGATTTCCCTTGTTAATGATTCCCCTTGTTAATATTTTCCCTTGTTAATGATTTCCCTTGTTAATGATTTCCCTTTTTAATACTTTCCCTTGTTAATGCTTTCCCTTGTTAAGATTTCCCTTGTTAATGATTTCCCTTGTTAATGATTTCCCTTGCAGAATGTGACTTGAATGATCCGTTAGAAGTTCCTTGGAGGAAAACTCCAGAATGGACAACAAGGGTAAAACAATGTCATATTGCTTTTAAAATTACTTTGTCTTACCGCCGCCGTTCTTATGCCCAGATCAAACCGTCTTCAGGTGTACATATATACATTTGAACATAATTCAAGTTTGAAAAAAGTCTAGAACAATACTTAAACATATACACTGGAAAAAAAGATTACTAACCTAGAATATTTATTTTAACTGTATTTGTAACTTGTAGCATCAGGCAAAGACTTATTTGCCACACATGTATGAATGTTTCGTTGATGTAATCCACAGGGGCCGGTAACATACTGTTTTTGATTTTACGTAATCACTATTATAATGTATATACAAAAAATATAGTGATTATGTAAAATCAAAAACAGTATGTTACCGGCCCCTGTGATGTAATCCATATGAAATTTCAAAATACTGATGAGGTTAAATGACGTCATGACATCGAATTTTACAGTATCTTGCGATAAAGTATATTGTTTATTACCTATTGGTGATTCTTATATTTATGTAATGAAGTAAGCTGTAATCGCTGTTAAAGACAAGATATGTTTGTGAAACACTGATGCCCCCGTATGGCAACATAGCGAAGGTGAAGCTTTCTCAAATGCAGATCAAATATGTTGGTACCAAAGTAAGGCCTTTTCACAAGAAATGCGAAATATAAAACGCTAGCTACACCTGTTTCAGGGTTATGACCAAGGTTTAACAATAATATAGGATAAACTCCGGGTCAAGGTCAAAGGGTCAAGGTTGTTGGGTTCTAAAGAAAGGCCTTGTCTCAAAGATTACGTATGGGAAGTATGAAAGCGCTGGTCCTTACCGTTCAAAAGTTATGGCTAAGGTTAAAGTTTGTAAAAAGTAGGTCAAACTCTAAGATCAAGGTCAAAGGGTCAAGATTCTTGATATCCAGTGAAAGGACTTTTCACAAGGATTACACATGTGAAATATGAAAGCTCTAGCCCCTACTGTTCAAAAGTTATGGTCAAAGTTAAAGATTGTTAAAAGTAGGTCAAACTCCAAGATCAAGGTCAAAGAGTCAAGGTTCTTGAAAATGAAAGGTCTTGTCACAAGAATTAAATTTGTGAAGTATGAATGCCCTAGTCCAAACCCTTCAAAAATTATGGTCAATGTTGTAATTTTAATGTAGGTCAAACTCCAAGGTAAAGGTCAAAGGGTCAAAGTTCTTGGTATCCAATGAAAGGTCTTTTCAACATTATTATATATGTGAAGTATGAAAGCCCTAGTCTTAATGTTCAAAAGTTATAGCCAAGGTTAAAGTTTTTTCATAGATACGGAAATCTCAAAGGTCAAGATCAAGAGGACAAGCTTGTTGGCATCCAATGAAAGGTCTTTTCACAAAAAATACATATATCAAATATAAATGTCCTGGTATCTATTGTTCAAAAAATATGGCCAAAGTAAAAGTTCAAAATTTTTGTGTTAAAGTGGGTTAAACTCCAAGGTCAAGATCAAAAGGTCAAATTTAGTGGTACCCAAGGAAAGGTCTTGTCACAAGGAATACACATGTGAAATATGAATGTTATAGCTCCACTAAATCAAAAGTTATAGGCAAGGTTAAAGCTTTTGCGGACAAACAGACAAACATACAGACGGACGGACAGACAGACAGAGAGACAGACAGACAGACGGACGGACATGACAAAAACTATATACCCCACAAACTTCGTTTACGGGGGCATAAAAATAGATCCCTTTCTAGAAACATTATTAGTTATAGAAGACTGAAAATGGAAATAAGTTGTTGTTAACTTGTTGTTTTTAATAATGTTTAGACCCGACAAAGAGACAACACAAGGATGATACCAAGTCTGAAAATCTCATTTAACTTAAAGTAGTCGAGAAAAAAGTGATAAATACAATATAACGTATTTTTATCTTGAAACTGTGTAGGTAATGCAAGAACTGAAGGAAGAAATAGAGAACTACAGACCACTAGAACAGCTGAAGTTACGTCAGACAAAAGTCCTCCTGATTGGTCAGATAGGGGCGGGAAAGTCCAGTTTCTTTAATACAGTGAACTCCATCTTCCGCGGTTACGTGACCAGCCAGGCGTGTAGCGGAACGGCTGACCACAGTCTCACCACGCAGGTAAGATATGTGCCTTTCAGTTGTAAGATACTACTTAAATAAATAAGGATCAAACGATCAAACCTTGCCGTCATCTTTTTCAAACTGGCTATATCCGGGGATTTTCGCGTCATGCTTTTAAAAATACGGATTGCATCTGTAATGGAGAAAGTGTATATTTCTGGACGGGAATCGAACCTGTGACATCCTTTATCGATAGACAGGTGTTCTAACTACCGGTATTTGAACTACCGGTATCCAGTCCCATGGTCATGACCAAACCATTACCACTCTCGAAGACACAACCAAAATACTCTCTTCTTGGCAAGCCTTTCACCTGAAAGTTCAGAGGTGGCTCGAGGCATTAAATCATATACTAGAATATGTAAGAGGAATGGAGCTCGAAAAAGCCAATTTCCACGCTCCAAACCATTACACAACTATAAAATAAAGGGGTTTTATGTCTATAAGCTGTTGATTTTCAAAATATTTAATCGAATTTTCAAAGATTCAAAAGGACCGTCTAAAAGGTCTAAAAGATAACATTACTTAAATAAATGACATTTTCTATATATTCGATCAATGCATACTATCTTTGCAAGATATATAACTGTATTCAGCGGCAGCTCACACATATTGGTCCGACCAAAATAATTCCATCATGATAAGTAGATACAACATTATTGTTCATGATAAGAGTAAAGTTGTGTATGTCATACGTTAAAGAAATCAAAAATAACGTCAAAATATCATTAGAAAGTCACTTTCCCCCCGAAATGCAAATAAAAAATATCAATATTCCTACGCTCGCTCCCTCCTCAGCCTTTTTTTTACGTGTTTGATAACAGAGAATAATTAGGTCATTCTTCGATTCATATCTTTTCACCAATGAATTGATAATACTATATCAACAATTGTATTAAGTACATGTTTATAGTCCGTTAATTATCATACAATTTGTTCTTAAAGAAAAAATTAATCATTCTGTGTGTGTGTATTATTAAATGACGGAATTTTCAATCCCTGGCCTGCTCGTGTGTACACTTCGTAAACTGTAGGGTATGTGTGGCAAAACGAGAACTGCATGGGTTGGAGATTCGGGTTCGTGTTGAAGTTCAGCATACCATTATATATAGAACTTGAATAATGTAAGTAATTTCTGCGACAAATATATTAGTATATTTCAGTTATTTTCAAAACAAAAAAGGTTTCCATGTTTTCAGTTTAGAATTTTCCGACCCGGTCCTGATTTTCCCAACCCGGCCATTTTAAACACAAGTTGTTGCAGATGCAAATGTTAGTACAAACTATATAAAGTTCAACAGGGATTGTATAATTTTTATTAATCAGAATTCGTATTTATATGATCTAATTAAGAAAAGAAAAGTTTTGTCTGACACCGTAACTTCTCGGCAAAACAAAACGTGTTTCTCCGATCTCGCTGGATGCGTGTGACAGCTCCATTGCACGTGTGTAGACCAAGGCTACAGGTACATGTAGGCCTATGTGTACTGTTTGTTAGGAGACTGGGTGACCGTAATGCTATGGAATCACGATATTTACAACAGTTCCATAATTAGACAGTGCAGTTTTTTTTATTAACGTCATTATAAACACTGTTAAACATATTAAATCTAACAGTCGAATATCTTTGGATATGGGGTAACCCATATCTATTCTTGTTATTTATGGAGCAAGAGTCAGTGTCATAATTTTACTTGAGGTAAAATAAGTAATAATGTTGTAAAGCAGGTTATACCAAGTCGTTCTATATCTAAATATTTTTTTTTCTTTTTTGTCTTCTTGAATCTTTGAAAATTTGATCGATATTTAAATGCGATAAATATAAGAAAAAATAATGTCAAATCTATTATAATATATTTGCTTTCACACTGTAGTTCAGAGCTTACCAAGTGAGAAATGGCCCTTCTGGTAAACCTCTCAACTTCCGGTTATGCGACTCACGTGGCCTGGAAGAAGGACAGGGGATCGAAAAGCAAGAAATGTGCTATCTATTGGATGGTCATGTGCCAGATAAATACATTGTGTGTCTCATTTTTATGCCCTCATAATCGGGGGTAGATAGTTTAATTTTGCACTGTTCATCTGTCTATCGGTTTAATTATCTCTATTTGTTTGTTTGTCGGCAAAGACTTTAACCTTGCCCATATTTTTTGATTGGTTGGAGCTATGGCTTTCATATCTATTATACCATTCTCCGAAGGAGAGGTAGGGTACTGTTTTAACCTGTGTGTCTGTATGTCTGTATGTGTAGTAGCTGTATGTCTGTCCGTAACACATTTTCATCGAAGTTTTCTCAGCAACTACTCATTGTAGATGATTGTTGATTAAGAAAACTTTTATATAGGCATGCCATATGTTAGGATTCATTTAGTGTCAAATCCGATGTCTACTTCCTCTTTGTCCAGACCAAATTTTTGTTACCATCTTTTCAGCAACTACATATTGCAAATGTGAGATTTTAGCATGCTCTGTGTTTAAATATGTCATGTAGTGGGTTTTAATTTGGTTCGAATATTAACCCTGGTCATAACTTTGAACAGTTGGTCCTAGGGCTTTCATACTTATACTTGTATGTTCATTGTGATAAGACCTTCCATAGATATAGATACACTTATACGTTTTTGTCTTTTTGACCTTGAACTTTGAGTTTGACCCACTTTAAAAAAAATAATAACCCTTGACATAACTTTTGGACTAAGTTAGTACCAGGGCCTTCATATTTTAGGAGCATTTCTTGTGACAGGGACTTCCTTAGAATGTCAACAATTTCGACTTTGATCCCTGGAATTTGACTTTTAAATTTGAAAAACTTTAACCTTTGCCATAACTTCTGAACAGTTGGTGCCAAGGCTTTAATATTTCACATAAAAAAGCGTTCCCTTTGGTATCTTTAATTTGACTCGTTGACCTTGACATTGGAGTTTGACACATGAAACTTTAACCTTGATCCCAGCTTTTGAATCGTTAGTGCTTGGGCTTTAAAATTCCACAGATATATTCATTTCACAAGTCATTTCTTTGGCTAATATTTTTTCCTCAGACCTCTCATGACCATGAAGTTTGATTTGCATTTGAGAAACTTTAACCTTCGCTGAAAGCTACCTACGGGGGCATAAGTGTTTAACAAACACATATCGTTTTTAGAAGTAATATTAAAATGTTTAAACAGTCTTAAATATATCCTGTAAAGGATGAAAGGGTGAACATTTATTAGTTGTATGATCTTTTGTAGTTCAACCCTTCGGTTCCGCTGACCCCAGACACCCCAGGGTTTATCAAGGCCCCGAAGCTGAAGGATCAGATTCACTGTGTGGCCTTTGTGATCGATGCATCAACAGTAGACGTCATGTCGGAGAAAATTCTAGAAAAAATTAGAAATCTTCAAACACCCATGAATCAAAGAGGTATAAAAAATTATTTGTATTACCACCGATCAGTTAAATGAAACATAAAGTTTAAAGTCTATGGAAGCAATATAAATTTAAGGGTAGAGCAAACACGGACCTCTAATAATATCAAAGGTTGGATTAGGTGTCACGAAAGAGTAAGCATCCCTTGTCAGCCGGCACAGACCGTCGCGATTGTGTGATCCTTCTCAGGATCGGGCACGGGAAAATTCGTAGACTATTCAGTGTGAAAATAATATGTTTTACATCATATAACATGAAATGTTTGTTTTATTGTATACATACCTGTTTGTTGGATTTGCACGATTTTTCCCGTTATTTCCCGATCATGACAAGGTGCACAAGCGGGTGTGACCGGTCGGCAGCGGATACTCACTCCTCCATGGCACCTGATCCCACCTCTTATGTTTTGGAGGTCCGTGTTTAGCTCCTATTTTGTATTGTTTTATGGACTTTGATCTTGAATACTGTTCATTTTCACCATATCATTCATTCATTTATAAATTTGTTTTGTTTGGCTACTTTTAAGGTATCCCTCAGGTTGTATTACTCACAAAGATTGACAAAGTTTGTGAGCCCCTGCAGCATGACGTCGGATTGACGTATTTGGTCCCCGCCATTCAGGAGTACGTGGACAGGGTGGCGATGATGATTGGTCTACCGAGATCTCACGTGATTCCCGTCAAGAACTACGAGAGTGAGCGAGAACTTGACACCAATGT